AGCTGGCACCATAGTCACCAAGAAAACAATTTGTAACACACTAGGCTGTGAAGGACTGAAATCCTGCAGCACCCGCAAAGTCCCCCTGCTCAAGAAAGCACATGTACAGGCCCATCTGAAGTTTGCCAGTGAACATCTGAATGATTCAGAGGAGAACTGGGTGAAAGTGTTGTGGTCAGATGAGACCAAAATCAAGCTCTTTGGCATCAACTCAACTCGCAGTGTTTGGAGGAGAAGGAATGCTGCCTATGTTCCCAAGAACACCATCCCCACCGTCAAACATGGAGGTGGAATCATTATGCTTGGGGATGTTTTTCTGCTAATGGGACAGGGCAACTGCATCACATCAAAGGGACGATGGGTTGGGGGTGGGGGGGGAGGGGTGCATGTACCGTCAAATATTGGGTGAAAACCTCCTTCCCTCAGCCAGGACATTGAAAATGAGTTGTGGATGTGTATTCCAGCATGACAATGACCCAAAACATACAGCCAAGGCAACAAAGGAGTGGCTCAAGAAGAAGCACTTTCAGGTCAGGAGTGGCCAAGCCAGTCTCCAGACCTTAGCCCCATAGAAAATCTGTGGAGGGAACTGAAGCTTCGAGTTGCCAAACGTCAGCCTTGCAACCTTAATGACTTGGAAAGGATCTGCAAAGAGAAGTGGGACAAAATCCCTCTTGAGATTTGTGCAAACCTGATGGCCAACTAAAAAAAAGTCTGACCTCTGTGATTGCCAACAAGGGTTTTGCCACCAAGTACTATGTCGAAGTGATCAAATACTTATTTCACTCATTGACATGTAAATCAATTTATAACTTTTTTTAAATGCGTTTTTCAGAATGTTATTCTGCCTCTCACTGTTAAAATACACCTACCATTAAAATTATAGACTAATTTCTTTGTCAGTGGGCAAACATTCAAAATCAGCAGGGGATCAAATACTATTGTCACCAGAACAACTACAACTTAATGTAGTTGTTCTGGTGTATATAGCCTGTGCTCTTCCTGGGTCAGTTCCTCACTATGTGCAGCACCTATGTTCAGCGTCTCTACGCTCTGCATGGAAGTGCTGAAGGTTCCCCACAGATATGCATTCATTCAATGCATCTTTATGAGGATATGCTGATTGGCACAGTGCCATACTTGCAGAACAGCCTCCCAATGCATTTGTTAACTTTTTAAAATGTGGTGAGGGGGGCAGGATGCCTAAACTGCATTTTTAACACTATAGTTACAGAAATACATTGTTTGTATTCCTGTCACTATAGTGTTCCTTTAACAATGTATATGCTTATTTAATTGGAAAAAATTTAATGCTGACAGATGATTAAATAGTAGGATTTATCTGAGGTCTTCATTTAGATTTCAGAAATATTCTCATCGGCCTTTATTTTTATTGGATGAATCAGCTTCTCACGGAAGTTTTACATATTACTTGGGAATCACAGCTTGCCAAAAGAGTCTGTGCTTTATGGAACTGACTTCAGCTTAAGGGAGAATTATTCCCCAAATGTCCCTGATAAAAGCCAGCAGGAGATCATTCCTCAGTGCTCTCTACACACAGATTCAATTGCAGTATTCCATCCATCTAGCTCTCTAGTTTTTCTATTTCTGCTCATAGTTATTTAACAGAATGTGTTAATTCCCCATCTAGCTGCTATATTGATAGGTGTCATCTATCAGCATATCTAGCTAATTTCCCTATTTAGGAGGGACATTCCCTAATTTGGGCCCAAATCCCTCTGTCCCTCATTTCTAGAGCTCTATATTGTTGGTGCTTGTGAGTGTATAAGAGGGCTCCACAGCAATAATACTCACGTGTGTTTTTAAACACAATAATTGTGTTTAGAAATCAGTCTATGTAAATAAGATACATTGTTCTTGTTCCAAATTACATTTTAACTCCATATATTAGTAAGTCACATATAATTTCTGAAATACCCCACCTCTCACGCTACTACCCCTTCTTGCTGTGCTGCGAGTAGGTGCGTGTCTACTAAACAGTGAGCAGTCAGAGGGTGCTCACTGTTGTAAAAAAGACCCCTCCAATCCAATAAAGGTGGATTTAACCATGGTGGAGCATGGGGACATAATGGGGATCCTGTGTCCTGCAAATGGTCTAACTAATTACATAAATCCAGACAAAAAAAAAATCATCAGCCCGCATTGTGCGGACTGAGCTTGCAGGGTAAGAAAAACACGGGTAAATCTTGAGATTTATCTGTCAGTCTCAAGATGTACCTGTCACAGCAAATCAGAGCACTTTGAGTCAATTTCGGGGGAAAGGCTTTATAAGGCTTTCCCCACCCTGCAAGCTCAGTTTCTGCAGAGCCCTTGCCGGATTATGATGGAATATTTTATTTTTTTGTTAAGATTTTTTTTTTCTAGTTCAACATGACATTGGGGGTTCTCCAGGGACTATGGTCACCCTAGTCACTGGGGGAGTTACAAGAGGCTAGGGCTGGGGGGGGACAATAGGCACCACATTTTCATTTAGGGCTCCCACCCGTCCCTAATGGGTGGGGGCTGGGGGAGGACTCTAGTTCCCCCATTATCATTTAGGGCCACTAACAAATGGATGAGGGCTCGGTGGGACATGGGGGGTGGGACTATAGGTCCCCCAACTATCATTTAGGTAGCCCACCCACCTCCAATGAGTGGGGGCTTGAGGGGCACTAGGACCTCCATTTAGTTTAATAGCCCTATTCGAGGCACAGGGTAGGCGGAATTTAACCTCCCTTATACTAAGATGGGGGTCATATTGACCCCCATAGAGTAAAGAGGGCATGGGGGATTTAGGAAGTGGTGGGAAGTGCAGGTTCCTGCCACTTCATTTTTTAAGTATTACAAGGAGGAAGCCACAAACCAGTAGTTCCATTCTTCTAATACGCTAAACAAAAAACAAATCGCAATATGGTCTTTGTTTGATACGTTGTAATTTCTATTCATTTTTTCATCTTTTGGACAAATAGCCAAAATTCAGACAAAATCAAATGCCCAAGTCTACAAGTGGGCACATGCGGGAATTTCTCAACGCAAATTAGAGCGGGCAAATAAAGGTTGATACGGTAAACGGCATCCAGAAACACAAAGATGGCAGCGCTGAGAACATATATCTGAAGCAGAAACGAGGCAGTAAAAAAAAAGGTGAAATGGGGGACCTAGAGGCATTGGGGTTCTTAGCTTCTCCTTGTATTGCAATGGCAATCTTGTTGTCACCAAAGGCATTAAGATGTAGTTGTTCTGGTGACTATAGTGTCCCTTTAAGAAATTAGTTATCTTGTTAGAAGCTTTTCTGATTAATTCAAGTTTCTGGAATACTCTCAAGGAATTTTTCATGTGTGTTAATCTTTTGGCACGGCTGAATGAACATAGGCACCCTGTGACACTCAAATCTGTATCAGTTTGTCAGGGTAGAATTTTCAGTTATTCAGCAAGGCCAAATCAGGTTTATTTGTACAAATATTTTTGACTTGATATGATGAAAATGAAACTTTCTCCAGCAAGGGACTGTACTGGGGAATTGTTGCCAATCCTCTAAAAACCAGCAACAAAGAATAGAGATGTTGAACTTATAGAGTAAATGCACCACAACCACTACAAATGCTGTAGTGCTTAAGGTGCCTGGAGTGTCCCTTTAAATGCTACTCAATTGTAATGAGGACTGAAAATTATGTTACTGTTATTAAAGGGACGACTACAGCTTATTAATGTAGTTCTGGTGTGTATAGTATGTACCTGTAGGCTTCAAAGAAAAGGCAGAGTTTACATTACTGTTTAGCAACACCTCTAGTGGCAGTCACTCAGAAGGCCACAAGAGGTGCTTCCTGGTTCAGTGCTGATGACGTTCAGCGTCTCCATGCTCTGTGTGAAGGTGCTGGATGTTCCCCATAGAGATGCATTAATTCTGTGGGGAATGTTCAGTGCCTCCACATTACATTAATCAGCATCTCCTCATAGAGTTGCATTGATCTCTATGGGGAGATGCTGTTTGGTGCAGGGTGGCTTTTTTGCTGGGCATGCACACTAGCCTCCCAATGCTTTCTAATGGGAATGCATTGGATTTTACTAAGATTGCCAATTTTAATGATTTCAGCCAAGAGGGTGGAGCCAGCCACCTAGATATTTACTCAGTGCTGGAAGAAAGGTGTGTTTAAACACCATTTACTCATCTTACAGGGGGGCAGGGGACATAAACTATAGTATCCAAAATATTTGTTTGTGTGATGACATAATGTTAATAGTTTAGTAAAATTTAAATTTTTTCCACACAATGCAACATTTCCATTAATTGTGTGCAAAAGGCATATGAAATACAACTCAAGAAAGTAAATTACCTAAAAGTATTCTAGAGGCTTGAAATGGTTTTGACATCAATGAGGCATTACTATTAATGTGTTATATAAGCACTTTTGGTTACCAGTGCTTAGCAGTAGCAAAAATGAAATGAATAAAAGGACCCTAATCATTAAACATTTCTATTATCATCTTTTTTTGTAAATGCTTGTCAGTTCATATTCATACATTTCTATTTTGTGTCTGCTGTAGTCAAATTTCGGTATTTCCTGTAACGTAGCTTGCATTTTTGGTTCCTTGTACCTCAGTTTTTATGGATGGAACTTGGTACTACAAACTGGCCAGTAAGTTTTAGCTGTGGTTCTCTACCTATTTTGACAAAGAATCAAATTATGTAGCCAGCCCTAATTAAAATGGTATAATTGTCCCATTCTTCAGTTGTGTTGTACCGTCCTGGAATTCTTCAAAACTTCATTATCTTCTCATTGCATCCATTACACTAAGAAAGGCTATTATGTTATAGTAATTTAATTTATTGTGGACAGCTGCCTGGAAGCTGACAAATATTAAAGGAATACTACAACTCGCATAACATCTACAGCTCATTGAAGTTGTTATGGGGCAGGATTGTCCAGGTGCCATCTCACCATCAGAATTAAACCATTTTGCAACAGTTTAACCCCAATGTTGGTCCTCTGGCACCTGTCATAGATGTCCCCTGCCTTCTGTTCTCTCTGGCTCCACAGTATATTTATATATACTGTGGAGCCAGAGAGAACAGAAGGCAGGGGACATCTATGACAGGTGCCAGAGGACCAACATTGGGGAAGGTTTTGCTTGGTGGACAGTGATGGGCTGAGATAGTTTCTCAGCCTATCACTTGCTGCCCATTAAGAGAAACACTATATTGCAACCCTTTTCTTCCATCCTTAAAAGAAAAAAATAAGTTATTATTTTTATGATGTTCTTAGAATTCTTGATTACATTATTTTCTAAAACTTGCGAAAATTATATATAATTATAAAGCATTGACACTGCATGTCACATCTGCAATGTAATTGTGTCTTTCAACATTAGCTAATGAGACCTGTTAGTGCCCCTATCTGCTAATGGAATTGTGGTTGCACCCATGGAGAAAATGTATTGCTGAAGAGGAATATTTTGTGAGTAAATGACATTGTATCTATGGTCATAAATGTGTGTAAATAATGTAGATAATGCATTCAAAAATGTTTCCTTGTTCCAAATCATCAGGATATGCAGTGGTTGCAGTTAGCTCTCCAAACCAAATGGAAGCTGAAAGGAGATTATCATATATCCCAAAAATCCCTGGGACAGCTGAATTACTAGTGCAGAAACCAATTAAGGCACGGAACAGAGAGTACATTTAAAGTGCCACTATTGTCATCATAAGAACTGCAGCCTAGTGTCAGAGAAAAGGTAGTGTTTACATTATAGCCTAGATGCACCTCCAGTTAGAGGCGGCTCTCTAATTAGGAGATTTAGGCGGCTGCTGCCTGGGGCCTTGCAGCCGCCTAAACCGCCTTAGGGCAGACCCAACACCAGGAGGAGGTCCGACGGCTTGCTTTATATGCCGCCAGGTGCAATGCTTCTCCAGTCTGCCCAGCAAGAGAGCACCAATCGCACAGCAGGTCTGCAGCTCCGCAATGTGCAGAGCTGCAGACCATGTGTCTCACGAGATCTGGCCAATCAAACCGTTGCCGCAGCTTACCACGGCAACGCTCTGACTGGATCTCGCAAGATACATGGTCTGCAACTCTGAGGAGCTGCAGGCTGGATATGCTGGCCACTGCACCACCAGAGAGCCCACCGGACCACCAGGGAGCCAAAAGAAAAAAGGCATTTAATCCCTTACCATCACCCCCCCTCACACCATCATCACTCCATCAATACCCCCATTCCATCAATACCCCCTCACCATCATCACCCCCTCTCCCTTACACCATCATCACCCCCTCTCCCTCACACCATCATCACCCCCTCCCTCACACTATCAACCCCTCACAGTATTACCCCATCCCTCACACTAGCACCCCCTTTCTCACACCTCCTTCACACCATCACCCTCCCTCACAAAACCCTCCCCACACCATCACCCCTCCTCACAGTATTACCTCCCTCACACCATCACCTCCTCCCTTACACTATCACTCTCCCTCACACAATTACCCCCCTCCCTCACACCATCATCACCCCCTCTCCCTCACACCATCATCACCCCACACCATCATCACCCTCTCTCACACCATCATCACCCCCTTGGTGTGAAGGAGGGAGTAAGTGTGTAAGGAAGGGGGTGATGGTGTGAGGAAGGGGGCTTTCTCACACCATCACCCCCTCCCTCACACCATCACCCCTCCCTCAGACTATCACCCCACTCACATCATCACTCCCCGCACACCATCACCCCCCTCCCTCACCCCCCCACACCATCATCACCCTCTCTCACACCATCATCACCCCCCTGGTGTGAGGGAGGGGGTGATTGTGTGAGAAAGGGGGTGATGGTGTGAGGAAGGGGGCTTCCTCACACCATCACCCCCTCCCTCACACCATCACCAATCCCTCAGACTAGGCACCAATCCCTTCCCTCACACTATCACCCCCCTCACACCATCACCCTCCTCCCTCACACCATCAGCCCCCCTCACACCATCACCCTGCTACCCCACTGTATTACCCCTCTCTCACACTATAACCCCCTCCCACACAGTATCACCCTTCTCCCACACAGTATTGCCTCCATTCCCACACAGTGTCCCTCCTTCTCATGCAGTGTCACCCCCTTACATACAGTATCACCCTAACACATACACACACATTATCACCCCTCACACACAGTATCACAGTATCCTCTCTCACGCACTCACACACGAACACTCACTGTATCACCCCTCACACACACTGTCATCCCCTCCTACACACAGTATCACCCCCCTCACACACAGTAACCATCCCTCATACACGCTGTCACCCCCTCACACACACACACTGTCATGCCCCCACGCAGTGTCACCCCCACAATGTAGTGTCATCATACTCCCCTCATGCTGTCACCCCCCACACTGTATCCCCCTCACACTGCCAGCCCCTTCACGCATCCACACTCACATTAGTAACTCCTAATCCTGGTAATTCACCCCCTCAGCTGCCCTCGCTCTGCCACAATCACCCTGTCAAATTTACCCCTCTAATTCTGTCACACTCACCTTCTCTCACTCTGTCAAACTTTCCCCCAACCCTTCCACACTTATCCTGTCACATTAATGCCTCTAATGCTGTAATCCTTTCACACTCTGCCACACTCACCCTGTCACATTAACCCCCCTTAATCCTCTCACACTCCCTCCTCCAACCATGCCTCATTTACCCTTCACCCTAACCCTGACACACTTACCTCCACTCGCACTGTCACACTCCCTTTTCAAACCATGTCAGCCATGGGGAAAATATCTATGGACAGTTTTTTTTTTTTAATCTGTAATTTTTTTTGGTAAACAATTTTTAAAAAAGATTTTTTGCTTAAACAATAACCCCTTCACACCAGTACTTATTTATACACGACTGCCAGGCTATACAACCATACCCCACAATTGTTTCTAAACAATTGGCATTATTGCAAACTAAATTTATTTATTACAAACTAATTTTGTTTGCAAATTATGCTACAACTACAGCCAGATAGCTAACAATGCAGGGCTACGCTACATTGAGTGACTAGCAGGAGGGAGCACTGTGCACTTCCCTCCTGCTGGGTCACCCAAATCTGGCGCCCCCTGGCCGGTGCGCCCTAGGCGACTGCCTAAGTCGCCTATACGACGCGCCGGCCCTGGTGTTAGGAACACAAAGCTGTATTCCTAACAATATAATGTCCCTCTGCCGCTTGCCACAGCATTGAAATGGTTAAAAATTTACTATTTTATATATTTTTTTTAAAAGCACTTACCCTATTACTTTGACTCAATGCTTTCCTCTGGGGATTTTGAAAGCGTTGGACGTCCTATTACAACACAGTTTTCTGTAAAGCTGCAGAGTTTTACTTTGAAGGGTTAAAAAAAAAACTGGGACACTGCACTCAGACCACTTCAATGAGATGAAGTGGTCTGGATGCTTTTAGTGTCCCTTTAAATACATCTGACTATTTTATAGATTATAACCCTAACAAGAAATAAGGGTTAATGGGTTAAATATGAAATCATCTCAGGTAATTTTATTTGGAAGGCTTGTGGACGGTATGGCAATGCAGAAGCCAATCTCTACTAAAAAAGTGTTTATATGCTTGGTCCCAGACACCTCTTTGTTCTTTTCATTGTGTGCCTGCCAATGTGACTTCAGTAGTAATATCTGGCAGGGTGTGGTCATATGACTTGCTTTCACAGTTCATGTCCCCAGCATAGTATAATTGTCAATAAGCAGGGACAGTATCAGTTTATAAATCAGAGTTTTATTAATATGAGAGAAGATTTAAAAATGAAAATATCATTAAACATTCTTAAATGAACTGATTATAAAGTACTTGAAAGATCATGAACGATTCTTTGTCTTGGACTCCTGTGTGCATGGTTAGATTGATATTTGGAACATCGAGCCTTTATCCTCAAGCTGTTCTTTAACACGATTTCCCATAATTCTCTGCTACCAGTAACTGGCAGCAAATTATGGACAATGTAGTCCAACAGTACCTCATATAAAACATATCTTTAATGTAGTTTTTTTTTAGGAATAAATCCTAATTTATTTCTTTGTAATGCCACAGCAATTCTCTTTCTGCATAGTGGCACATGCTTATATTTGCTCCATATAAACCTAACCTTGTAATACACACATATACAGCCTTACCTGATAAACGATGTTTTGGAGAGGTGTGATAGACAGAGTACTCACTAATCTGAAAACAAGGCTGCTTCCAATAAACATTGCTCGCATTTTTTTTTTTCACATTTCTCCATTCATGTTTCTCCTTTTATTCCTGTTCTCCTTTTTGCATACATATACAAAACCCTTTCTGAATTTAAAAAAAAAACCTGGCTTTTCTCTCTGGATGAGAACATTGCAGCTGTGCTAAGTATATACTTGTTCCAAGTAAAGCTGAGAAGTTCCACCCTAGGAATCATGCCAACCTTCCTGGAGATTTCAGTCTAGTCCTTTGGCAACCAGCGCTCTTCTCTCCCTTTAAATGTATAATTTTGTGTATTGGATCGGTTGCTTTGTTTTGGTTTAAAACCATAAAGCCAGCTGTCTACAATCTGATGTAATGTTTCCTTGGAAACCTAAATGAAACACCCGGGTGTCATACGCAGAGTTGAATCTATTCGTTTTGCCAACATTATCAAAAGGCTGTGCCATATGTACTCCGCAGTGGAAATATTTGCTTTACCAGAGATGCAGATGAGACTTGTATATGTGTTTGTTTTGAATGATCTATGTCATCTCGAAATCAGTGGTACAAATCCTTGGCTCTTTATGTTATTGAACACTGTTTCCCAATTGATTACAGCTGCAGCTATGATTATTCTGTGTTTATTAGAAGCATGCATTTTTGTGTTGTTAAATATATTTATATAGTTTTGCCTTCAAATGTGTGCCTGCATATTTTCCAATTTGTCAATTTTTATTTTTTGTCCTTAAATCAAAACGAGGGAGTATAGAAAGGAAAAAGAGGGTGGGAAACCAGCAAAATTCACTGTTACAAGCACATAGCTACATGGCTTTGCACTGTTCACATTCATAAGTAACTTTTACATAGAGATGCTATATATTTCGCTGGTTAATGTGACATCCTCAAGTGCATGGGATAGTGTGTTCCCATCATGTAAATTAAACAATAAACAAAACAACTTGAATACATAAGAATTAAAAAGGTAAGGGTGATAAATGACCTGTGTCGTTCATGTACTGATAAGGTTTCATTACTGCACTGTGGTGTGCCTGCATTTTAAATTCAAGAGATAAACAAATAACATTGTAGTTGTGATTGGAGCTCCCTTCATTAGCCCTAGGTCCATATTCTGCCAATATGGTGAAACTGCCAATATCCCAGATATGAACCTCATCCCTTCTGCATGATTTAACCACCAGGGAAGGATTGTAAGGCTTGTGGAGAGGATTGGGGGCTATGCTTCTCACTACAGACTACATGCCCAGAGATTATGAATTATTATATGGACTCTTCTACCTCTCCTGGTGCATTGTAACAATACAGACAATCCACTGGCATTGAAAGTTTCATTTAGCCAATCCTGAGGCTGTTATTGTTTTGATTGTTGACCTTGTGTAATGCAATTAGTTGTAGACATGTTCTTTTTGTGAATGCGTGTGTTTTAGGTTATCTTGTACATACTCTATCTTAATTATGGTTTAAATAGATTATTTTGAATGTTATTAAAGTGGCGATGTCACCTTCTGGGGACTTTACAGAATTTGCAAAGACCAACGACGGCGACTTCGCTGCTGGGGGTCCAGTGGCCAGGGAGGGGCAAGCAAAGGTGAGATTTAGTTACGTGAACCTGTCCCTCGCAGGCGGCACTGTCTTCTTCAGCTCCATATATAAAGCCAATTCCCTGCAGCTATCACTGGTGACATTTGGGAGGATTCACACTTCTAGATGTCGGTAGCTGCACCCAGTTTCTAAAAGTGTCAGGTGGAGGAAATATACTGATACAAAGTAGTCTCTCTAATTTGTCTCTGCATATATCATTACTGGGTTGGAATTTCAGAGAAATTATAAAATTTTTATTATTATTATGAATATTAATGAAATACTCATTTTCTTCTGACCAATAAAGGGTTAAAAAAACTTTATTTACTCACCTGATTCGAGCACCAATGTCCCTCGGCGCTGAGTAGGCACTCCACCTGCTCCAAAGGGGGAGGGTTAATATGCATGCGTGGCAAGCACATTCGGCCCTCCCCATGTTAATTATAACTACCAGATTTGGTCCCCATGTAGGTTGACTCTTTGTTTTTCCCTTACACTAGTTTATAGTGATATACCAATCTTTTCACTGCTGATAGATCTTGTATAACTTGTATTCATTTTATGAGAGCATTCATGCAAAACTTTAGTGACTTATTTTCTTACATGGTCTGAAATACTTTTTTTTTTTTTTTATGTTTTTGTTTTTTTATAAAATCAAAATGTTATTGAAAAACATACTATATTAGAAAAACTGTAGCAAACCGTAGGAAAAAGCAGAAATATTTTTGTAGTACATGTGTATTTGAGAATAAAATATATTTTTCTTCTTCTTATGTGGAATAGGAAAATTAATACCATTCAAAAAAGTAGTTACCTACAGCTAACAATCATTCTTACTTTTTATGTAATTAAAGGGACACTATAGTCACCCAGACCACTTCAGCTCAATGAAGTGGTCTGGGTGTCAGGTCCCTCTAAGGTTAACCCTGCCTGATGTAAACATAGCAGTTTCTGAGAAACTGCTATGTTTACATCTGGGGTTAAGCCAGCCTCTAGTGGCTGTCTTCCGGACAGCCACTAGAGGCGCATCGGCAATGATTGAGGCATATTATGCCTCAATCACACAGAGCGTCCATAGGAAAGCAT